TCGACTACGCCACTGCTCTGGTTGCTGAGTCAGTGTCTGCCAGTCCTCCGTCCGTCGGGGGTGAGTGTGCTCTTGGCACGGACGTCCTTGAGGACAGGCAGGAGGACTTTGAGTGTCTTGCAGCTGCTGTACCTCGTTTTGCTTCCATGCTGCTTGCCCCTGAGGGAGACCCGGATGCTCCAGACATCCCGACCCCGCGCTCTTATGCACAGGCGATTGCGGGTCCTTACTCCTCTCAGTGGCAGGCAGCTATGGATGCCGAGATGGCATCCTGGAAGTCCACAAGCACCTACGTCGATGAAATTCCCCCGTCTTGGGCGAACATAGTTGAAGGCATGTGGATTTTCAGGGTGAAGCGGCTGCCGGGTTCTCCGCCTGCCTTCAAGGCGCGTTACGTTGCTCGAGGCTTCAGTCAGTGACAGGGAGTTGACTACTTCCATACCTTCTCCCCCACCCCGAAGATGACTACTCTTTGGGTGTTGCTGCACGTCGCTGCTCAGCGTGACTACGAGTTGCACTCTCTGGACTTCAGCACAGCTTTCCTGCAGGGCAGCCCGCACGAGGAGATCTGGCTGCGCCGACCACCTGGTTTCACTGGGACACTTCCTGCAGGTACTCAGTGGAGCCTCCGCCGGCCAGTCTACGGTCTTCGCCAGGCACCTCGCGAGTGGCACGACACACTGAGGACTACACTTGCGGCTCTTGGGTTTGCTCCTTCTACTACGGACCCGTCGCTGTTTCTTGGCACCGACACGTCGCTGCCGCCGTTCTACGTCCTCGTGTACGTCGACGACCTGGTCTTTGCCACTGCTGACACTGAGGCACTGACCCTTGTGAAGTCGGAGCTGCAAAAGAGACACACCTGCACTGACCTGGGTGAACTGCGCAGCTATCTTGGCCTGCAGATCACCCGGGACAGAGCACGGTGCACCATCCCACTGACTCAGTCATACATGGTGCACCAGGTCCTTCAGCGCTTCGGCTTCCAGTTCTCCTCGCCACAGCCCACTCCTCTGTCTACCAGCCACTCGCTCTCAGCTCCACCTTCGGACGAGTCCGTAGAGCCGAGCGGTCCGTACCCAGATATTGTGGGTTGCCTCATGTACCTGATGACGTGCACACGACCTGACCTCGCGTACCCTCTCATCCTTCTAGCTCGCTACGTGGCTCCCGGTAGGCACCGAAAGGTGCACTGGGATGCTGTGAAGAGGGTACTGAGTTACCTGTGCAGTACGTCGGGCATGGGGCTTGTGCTTAGAGGACGGGGTCCAGTTGTTCACACTGGTCACGCAGTCGCCTCCTGGGTTGATGACTCAGCTACGCAGCGGTCGTCTCAGGGTTACACCTTCAGCCTTGGTTCCGGCTCTGTTTCTTGGCGGTCTACCCGCTCGTCTTCGGTTTTCAGCTCCGGTTGTGAGGCTGAGATCTACGCCGGGGCCATGGCTGCACAGGAGCTACGCTGGCTCACCTACCTGCTCACTGACTTAGGAGAGCAGCCTCGTTCGCCTCCAGTTCTGTACGTAGACAACAAGGCAATGATTGCCTTGTGTCAGGAGCACAGACTGGAGCACAGAACGAAGCACATCGCTCTGCGTTACTTCTTTGCTCGAGAGTTGCAGCAGCGCGGCCAGCTTCGTCTTGCGTACGTGGCCACTAGGGCCAACACTGCTGATATATTCACCAAGGCACTTCCGCCTGGTGATCATCAGCGCTTCTCTACTGTGTTAGGCCTTGTGCCTACTTTGCCTCACTTGCTCACTGCTTGACTCTGCTTGTACTGTGATCTATATATATACCTGCATGCTTACACTTGCTAGGGTATGATCACTGTATTGTTTGTTCTCTTTTATTTAACTCTGCATGTGAACTGGCCTTGTGGCCCTTTGCTTGTGCTCGGACTGTGTGGTGACTTTGTGATCCACCCCGAGCTTGCTTTGCTTTTCTTGACTGGTCTTGTGACCACTTGTTCTCCCCCACTTTGCCTATGGTGGTGTGTCAAACTTATATATAGCTTACATTGTGTAGGCTGTAGTGGGGTAGCCCATAAGGGGTACAATCCAATTAGGGTTAGTACTTGTACCCAACTCTTTCATAGTTCATTAATTCTTGTTCGTAACTTTGACACCCGGTTCCACGCGGATAACAATTCGCAGAAATATTAGAGGCAGTACGGATCGATCAGCAGAAGCCATAAAGAAAACAAACGTCATCGCTAAGCGCAACGCCGACCGCCACCGCCGCCCCGTCACTTACCAACCCGACGACCTGGTATTACTCGACTCTTGAAACCTCCGCCTACCCATCACTCTGAAACTCCGCCCCAGATATTGCGGGCCATTTCACATCAGCCACATGATCACCCCCGTCACCGCCCACCTCCTCCTCCCTGCTGACTGGTACGTCAGCCCATTGTTCCACATTAGCCTGCTTCGCCCGTATGTCCCATCCACCAGCCAACTGCCTCGCAACCGCCCCGCCAGCATGACACGACCGCCGACAGAGCCAATCATCACGCCTGAAAAAATACTGAGCCATCGAGTTCGTGACCCACGGGGAGCCCGTAGGATCGAATTTCTGATCCGCTGGAAAGACCGCACGCCCACCGAAGACAACTAGGTCCTCCTGGATAGAATCGAGAACCACCTTGTCCTCACCGAGTACCTGCGCAGTCAAATCTTTCGAGATGTACACGCGCTCTCGTAAGGAGGGCCTCTGCTTACCGCATACATGACCATTCCCGCCACCGGCACCCAACCAGGGTCATCGCTAGCAGAATTTTTATGTCTGCTTGTCCGATATCCAGATAGTTTTTTACCAGTTCATATGATTTTCCAGAAATGAATTTTTGAAATTTCTGATTGATAAGAAATATTTTTTGAATTCATCTGATCAATCAGGAACCTGTTCTGGTTTCGTCTAATGCCGAGTTCCAATGTAGAAGGGTGTTTCGCGTGTGAATGGAGTTTGGCCGCTTATATGTACTGTTACCTAAACCTATCACTGTATATAGAAGTACCGTCATCGCCCGGATAGTAGACATATATGTATAATCTCGTACACTACTCAAAATGCTTGGGTTATCTTGTATTTGGGATGGTTTAGGGTGTCTTATAAGTCTTATAAATGGAAAAAAATATAAGTACTCTGTAACATTTGCAAAGTGTGTAGAAACCACCCAGGGGCCAGATTCATTGAAACAGGACGACCTCGGTGGTGATGCATGCAGCGCCCCCACTTGCCACGTGAGGGATGCAGCAAAGCTGCCACTGCTGGCAACTTCCCTCCGTGCTGGCAGCATGTAATGATGCTGCCAGCATCGTTTTGCTGCCAGCAGCGCATGGATGCTTCCAGAACGGTGCTGGCAGCACGATGGCAGCGTGAGGGCTGTCCTCTACGAGGAGATTCCTCTTAGAGGAGCGGCTCGGCACCTTTGGAAGGGGCACTCTAGCTGGGGGGGGGGGTAGTCGGGCTTGAGCTTCATTTGGTGCTCAAGGAGGTTGGGATCTCAACTCAACCTTCGCTCTCGGCAGGCTTACCGTAACCATGCGCAGAAAAGTCCCCGTAGGCACGTCCTCACCTCGCCCTCACGTGCAGGTGAATAACTACGGGCGAATTAACTCGCCCGGTGATGACATCCATGTGGCCATGACGAAGAATACGCGCAAGGCAGGAACATCTACTGCCGCCTCTGGTGCGAGCTGTGACGGGGACGACGACGACGAAAAACACGGCGACGATGGCGACGAAGAACACGGCGACGACGTCGAGGAGGATTGGCCGGAGAACGGCCACGACGATAGCGCTTCGGGGGATGAAATAGCTCCTGCCGACATCGACGAGGACGACTGGTGGAATCGGCCAGTTGGGAGTGAGGACGAAGTGGAAGAGTGGCGGGCTGGTGATTCGGACAACGACGAGGGTGCCGATGCTGATGGTGAGCCCGCGGAGGCAGCGGCGCATGCAACGGGAGCGACGGTGGATGCGAATGCGGAGGCTGACGACGAGGCGGATGCGGAAGCGAGGACGGAAGAGGAGGCGGAAGCGGATGCCGATGTTGTTGCGCCCGCGGATGTGGCCGCAATTGCGGATTCGGATGCGGATGCTGTGGCGGAGGCGGATACGGATGCTGCGGAGGGAGGTGCTAATGCTGTCTTATTTGACGGTGAAAACTCTGATGACGACCCGTGGAACATCACGGGTGACGACGATGTTCCGCTTCTTAAGCGGAGGCTGCGTCATCGCCTACAATCCAAGCCGAAGCGTGCCCGCGTGGTGCTCTCTGATGACGACAGTCCGGGGGAGGAGCGTCAACCGCGCTTCACTGCTGCAGACAAGCACAGGACAACGGCTGGATGGACGAGAACGCCGTGCAGACCAGGCTGACCAAGGAGGTGCTGCCCCATCTGAACCCCCAGCGCGGCCAGAACGCGAGGCGTGCGATGCTGGTGTTGGACTCCTACCGCGGCCACATCACCCAGGCCATGCTTCAAGCTTACCGCACGCACAGCATCACCCCTGCAGTTAGAAATGAGGAGGGCTCTAAGAAAAACAATCATAAATTGAATTTAAAAAATTTCCGATTCAGCAGAAATGTTTTGAAGGAAATTTTGATGCATCAGACAGAAAAAACCACGCCATCTGATGCATCAGGTAGGCTCAAAACCTAGGGATGACCTTGCACCCAACAGTGAAACGTTACCTGCTCGCGACACTCGCCTCAACCACGACTCCCACCACTGTTCACGATGCGACCCAACCTCACGGTTCGATTGGTAACCCGCGCTCCGAACCTCCGCCTCGACATTTCCCAACCTCGGCGCTAGGCCCGTAGCGCACCCCAATCTCTCGCGTTACCGTCACAATGTTAGCTTCGCTATATATTCGTCGCTCAATGAACTGTTTTGCTTCGATAGTGCAATTCTCGTTCGCTCACTCAATTGCACTCGTAACAAGCCACATGAACGATTTATTAGAGTAACTAGTACATGAATACAACGTTTTCATCCGTAGAAGCGGTTGTAATTCAGCTGCTGCAGAAGGTCCCGAATGCTCGACGGCAACTTCTCAGCTTGGTTGCGAGCCACCTGCATGCCATGTGGTCAGTAAAAATACGCTCGAGAGAAACCACTTATGAGAATTCTCTAAACTGATGTGTATGTCGTGTTGTGTGACGACGATAGCACCTCTAATGGAAAAAAAAGGGAACAACATTGTTAGCCATGGTTAGAAACTAACAAAGGAGACTAGGTAGATCCACAGCTTTGTCAGATAGCTACCTAGTTGTGATAACCATGCCTAATTAACCAGGACCTCCAAATGACATTCGCACCATTGAAAGCCTTACATGCGCCAATCCAATGCAGCCTTGTTCTCCGAGCAATCTCACTTTGAAGGTTGGCCGACACGTCAGCATGACCCACCTATGATGGCCGATATCAGCATGGCATACCTGCAGGATGGCCGACACGTCAGCATGGAAGAAATCCCCCAGCTGCTGAATCTCCGCATTGATTGCCGCCTCCTCTGCCGCCGCCCTGCCACCCCTCTCCTCCCTTGCTCCCCTCTTGCTGCTCTCCTCCCTTCCTCCCCCCCTGCTGCTGCTGGCAGTGGGTGCGTATGTGGGAGTGTTGCTGCTACCAGTGTGTGTGCGCATTGGAGTGCTGCTGCTAAAGCTAGGCATGGTGGCGGAAGCGGTGGTGGAAGGGGTAGGTGATGGCATGGAGTGTGGGCGCTGCAGTGAGCGGCGGGAGTGGTAGAGTGCGCAGAAGAGAAGGGTCTTGCTAGACAGAGAGACTATCAGGCCTGTTATGGCCTTGCCCTGATGAGTGGGTGGGTGGTTCGCAGGAGGGAGGAGGAAGATGTGAGGATGGGATGGGATGGTGGGAGGGGTAAAATGGCAAGTAGAAGAGAAGGGTCTTTGTTGGACAGAGAAACTATCAGGCCTGTGATGGCGTTGCCCTGAGGAATAGTTGGGGTGGATGGCCGGAGGGGGAAGGAAGATGCGAGGACAGGATGGGGTGGAGGGAGGGGAAAGAAGGTGAGCAGAACACACGCACGTTGCTCGACAGAGAGACTATCAAGCCAGTTATGGCTTTGAAGCACGTTGCCCTGGCACACGGGAGGAGTGGATGGTTGCATGGGGAATGAAGACACGGAGAAGAGAAGCTGAGACGAAGTTTGAGAGGTCTGAACGGTGAGGCCAAGGGCTTGGAGAGAGGAGAAGGAGGATGCAGACTGCGAGGAATGCAGCAACTCAGTGCGAGTGAAAATTCCACACCTTTAAAACCCCTCTTCAGTCCAAGTGTAATTACAGTCTTTTCAGGTACACCATCAAATCGCGCTTCAATCCACCTCAAGTGCGAGTGAGGATGCAACACAGTACTGTGGCGGCCGTTGACTAACTGTGATGGCTTGTTAATTGCATTAAGGACACAAAACCCCTATTGCTAGATCCAAGTGATGCTGGGAGACCGTTGTCCTGCCAGAACCGATTGCCACAGCATGTGGGTAGTCCATCCACAGCTTACTTTGGCTGATACATTTGAGTCGACTCAAAAAAAGATTGCCACAGCATATAGGTGGTTCATCCACACATTACTCCCCCTATGTGGTTCATTCCACATGCGGAATACAAGCTTCTTGCCATAGCGGACCATAGGGTTTCGAGTTATGAGTTTTGAGTTTTGAGTTTTTATTAAGGTGGTAACCAGCATAGTGGACGACAGGGATAAGGAGGAGGAGAGTGACGGAAGTGCAGCAGGAGAGCTGATGACGTGGACTGACTGACCATGTTGGTGGAATTAACGAGGAAGCATCCCTCAAGGATTGAGTGCAGGTAGCAGTGGTGTGCGTGCACCACTGCTGCCACGGATGCTGCTCCATCCATGGCCGCCTGTAGCTCGTGCCATGCTGCTGTCACCGCCTGGGAAGGGAGAGGAGAGGAAGGGGAATGTGAGGAGAGGGGGAAGGGACTTTGGAGTTGACTCAACACCCAACCACGGATGCTGCTCCGCCCATGGCCACCTGTAGCTCGTGCCATGCTGCTGTCACCACCTAGGAGGGGCGTGAGGGGAGAGAGGGAGGGGCGAGAGGCGTGTGAGGAGAGGGGGATGGAAGTGTGATGAGGGGGAAGTGAGTGTATGCTGCTCTGCCCATGGCTGCCTGCAGCTCGTGCCATGAGGGGAAAGAGCTGTGATGCGACAGAGTGAAGAATGGAGCACGGAAGAATTGGATAGTGGAGGGAGAAGCGAGATTACTCGAGATGGAAATCGAAGGGACTGGGGAAGAGAGGGAGAAAGGGTGGCGGAACAGAGGAAGGCTGATGCATGGAGTAGTGCAAGAGGGGATGGGCGGAGACAAGAGAGGGGAGACAAGAGAGGGGAGACAAGAGAGGGGAGACAAGAAAGATGTCACTTTCACATGGCCAATGACTCATGCTGTATGCCCTGATATGCCTTAACAGGCCTGCCGCTGCCCACGCACATGCCAGGAGGTAGGTGTGATGCGGTGCATAGGGATGCTTGTATCACTTTAGAGAGATGCTCAACATTGATACAAGCGCAGTCCCAACTGCTGCTCACACATGTGGGTGGGTCGTGAGGTGAGAGTGGATGCATGGATGTGGTGCACGTGGTGCACATGGTAAATGCCTCACGCACACTGGTCATGAGGAAGGCAAGGCATGCTGCAGCTCTGAGACAGACTCTAAGAACTCAAAACTGCTGCACGTGCTGCATGTGTCCTTTTACAGCCACGTGGGGCACGCACATTGGCCATGAGGAAGGAGTGGATGGCATGCAGGGCGTGCTGCATGTGCTGCACCATCAGCAGCTCCCTCTGCGCCGCCATGGCCATGTCACGGAAGCACCGCCGCTCCTGCCATGCAATGCCACAGGACACAGGGGGGAGGGGGCGATAAACAAAGGACAACCTTTGAGTCGAGTCAAAAGCCACCATGGGCATGCCACGGAAGCACCGCCGGCGCCGTTCCTGCCATGCGATAGGGCACAGGGGCGTGGGAGTGTATGTGCACCTCGCCCTGCGCACGGAACACGCATGCAGCATGTCCTTTACGGAATACTCTCAATTCCGTCCTTACCCCCCCACCACTCAGATCAGATTCCCCTGCAACCCCCCACGCAAGTGCGCCCTGTCTCTTACCTGCAGCATGCGTGATTTGGTGGCGGTGAGAGCCGTTTTGGCGAGATGCCGTGCATGAGACAGTTGGCAGATGCCGTGCATGAGACAGTTGGCAGATGCCGTGCATGAGACAGTTGGCAGATGCCGTGCATGAGACAGTTGGCAGATGCCGTGCATGAGACAGTTGGCAGATGCCGTGCATGAGACAGTTGGCAGATGCCGTGCATGAGACAGTTGGCAGATGCCGTGCATGAGACAGTTGGCAGATGCCGTGCATGAGACAGCTGGCAGATGCCGTGCATGAGACAGTTGGCAGATGCCGTGCATGAGACAGTTGGCAGATGCCGTGCATGAGACAGTTGGCAGATGCCGTGCATGAGACAGTTGGCAGATGCCGTGCATGAGACAGTTGGCAGATGCCGTGCATGAGACAGTTGGCAGATGCCGTGCATGAGACAGTTGGCAGATGCCGTGCATGAGACAGTTGGCAGATGCCGTGCATGAGACAGTTGGCAGATGCCGTGCATGAGACAGTTGGCAGATGCCGTGCATGAGACAGTTGGCAGATGCCGTGCATGAGACAGCTGGCAGATGCCGTGCATGAGACAGTTGGCAGATGCCGTGCATGAGACAGTTGGCAGATGCCGTGCATGAGACAGTTGGCAGATGCCGTGCATGAGACAGTTGGCAGATGCCGTGCATGAGACAGTTGGCAGATGCCGTGCATGAGACAGTTGGCAGATGCCGTGCATGAGACAGTTGGCAGATGCCGTGCATGAGACAGTTGGCAGATGCCGTGCATGAGACAGCTGGCAGATGCCGTGCATGAGACAGTTGGCAGATGCCGTGCATGAGACAGTTGGCAGATGCCGTGCATGAGACAGTTGGCAGATGCCGTGCATGAGACAGTTGGCAGATGCCGTGCATGAGACAGTTGGCAGATGCCGTGCATGAGACAGTTGGCAGATGCCGTGCATGAGACAGTTGGCAGATGCCGTGCATGAGACAGTTGGCAGATGCCGTGCATGAGACAGCTGGCAGATGCCGTGCATGAGACAGTTGGCAGATGCCGTGCATGAGACAGTTGGCAGATGCCGTGCATGAGACAGTTGGCAGATGCCGTGCATGAGACAGTTGGCAGATGCCGTGCATGAGACAGCTGGCAGATGCCGTGCATGAGACAGTTGGCAGATGCCGTGCATGAGACAGTTGGCAGATGCCGTGCATGAGACAGTTGGCAGATGCCGTGCATGAGACAGTTGGCAGATGCCGTGCATGAGACAGTTGGCAGATGCCGTGCATGAGACAGTTGGCAGATGCCGTGCATGAGACAGTTGGCAGATGCCGTGCATGAGACAGTTGGCAGATGCCGTGCATGAGACAGTTGGCAGATGCCGTGCATGAGACAGCTGGCAGATGCCGTGCATGAGACAGTTGGCAGATGCCGTGCATGAGACAGTTGGCAGATGCCGTGCATGAGACAGTTGGCAGATGCCGTGCATGAGACAGTTGGCAGATGCCGTGCATGAGACAGTTGGCAGATGCCGTGCATGAGACAGTTGGCAGATGCCGTGCATGAGACAGTTGGCAGATGCCGTGCATGAGACAGTTGGCAGATGCCGTGCATGAGACAGTTGGCAGATGCCGTGCATGAGACAGCTGGCAGATGCCGTGCATGAGACAGTTGGCAGATGCCGTGCATGAGACAGTTGGCAGATGCCGTGCATGAGACAGTTGGCAGATGCCGTGCATGAGACAGTTGGCAGATGCCGTGCATGAGACAGTTGGCAGATGCCGTGCATGAGACAGTTGGCAGATGCCGTGCATGAGACAGCTGGCAGATGCCGTGCATGAGACAGTTGGCAGATGCCGTGCATGAGACAGCTGGCAGATGCCGTGCATGAGACAGTTGGCAGATGCCGTGCATGAGACAGTTGGCAGATGCCGTGCATGAGACAGTTGGCAGATGCCGTGCATGAGACAGTTGGCAGATGCCGTGCATGAGACAGTTGGCAGATGCCGTGCATGAGACAGTTGGCAGATGCCGTGCATGAGACAGTTGGCAGATGCCGTGCATGAGACAGTTGGCAGATGCCGTGCATGAGACAGCTGGCAGATGCCGTGCATGAGACAGTTGGCAGATGCCGTGCATGAGACAGTTGGCAGATGCCGTGCATGAGACAGTTGGCAGATGCCGTGCATGAGACAGTTGGCAGATGCCGTGCATGAGACAGTTGGCAGATGCCGTGCATGAGACAGTTGGCAGATGCCGTGCATGAGACAGTTGGCAGATGCCGTGCATGAGACAGTTGGCAGATGCCGTGCATGAGACAGCTGGCAGATGCCGTGCATGAGACAGTTGGCAGATGCCGTGCATGAGACAGTTGGCAGATGCCGTGCATGAGACAGTTGGCAGATGCCGTGCATGAGACAGTTGGCAGATGCCGTGCATGAGACAGTTGGCAGATGCCGTGCATGAGACAGTTGGCAGATGCCGTGCATGAGACAGTTGGCAGATGCCGTGCATGAGACAGTTGGCAGATGCCGTGCATGAGACAGTTGGCAGATGCCGTGCATGAGACAGCTGGCAGATGCCGTGCATGAGACAGTTGGCAGATGCCGTGCATGAGACAGTTGGCAGATGCCGTGCATGAGACAGTTGGCAGATGCCGTGCATGAGACAGTTGGCAGATGCCGTGCATGAGACAGTTGGCAGATGCCGTGCATGAGACAGTTGGCAGATGCCGTGCATGAGACAGTTGGCAGATGCCGTGCATGAGACAGTTGGCAGATGCCGTGCATGAGACAGCTGGCAGATGCCGTGCATGAGACAGTTGGCAGATGCCGTGCATGAGACAGTTGGCAGATGCCGTGCATGAGACAGTTGGCAGATGCCGTGCATGAGACAGTTGGCAGATGCCGTGCATGAGACAGTTGGCAGATGCCGTGCATGAGACAGTTGGCAGATGCCGTGCATGAGACAGTTGGCAGATGCCGTGCATGAGACAGTTGGCAGATGCCGTGCATGAGACAGTTGGCAGATGCCGTGCATGAGACAGTTGGCAGATGCCGTGCATGAGACAGTTGGCAGATGCCGTGCATGAGACAGTTGGCAGATGCCGTGCATGAGACAGCTGGCAGATGCCGTGCATGAGACAGTTGGCAGATGCCGTGCATGAGACAGTTGGCAGATGCCGTGCATGAGACAGTTGGCAGATGCCGTGCATGAGACAGTTGGCAGATGCCGTGCATGAGACAGTTGGCAGATGCCGTGCATGAGACAGTTGGCAGATGCCGTGCATGAGACAGTTGGCAGATGCCGTGCATGAGACAGCTGGCAGATGCCGTGCATGAGACAGTTGGCAGATGCCGTGCATGAGACAGTTGGCAGATGCCGTGCATGAGACAGCTGGCAGATGCCGTGCATGAGACAGTTGGCAGATGCCGTGCATGAGACAGTTGGCAGATGCCGTGCATGAGACAGTTGGCAGATGCCGTGCATGAGACAGTTGGCAGATGCCGTGCATGAGACAGTTGGCAGATGCCGTGCATGAGACAGCTGGCAGATGCCGTGCATGAGACAGCTGGCAGATGCCGTGCATGAGACAGTTGGCAGATGCCGTGCATGAGACAGCTGGCAGATGCCGTGCATGAGACAGTTGGCAGATGCCGTGCATGAGACAGTTGGCAGATGCCGTGCATGAGACAGTTGGCAGATGCCGTGCATGAGACAGTTGGCAGATGCCGTGCATGAGACAGTTGGCAGATGCCGTGCATGAGACAGTTGGCAGATGCCGTGCATGAGACAGTTGGCAGATGCCGTGCATGAGACAGTTGGCAGATGCCGTGCATGAGACAGTTGGCAGATGCCGTGCATGAGACAGTTGGCAGATGCCGTGCATGAGACAGTTGGCAGATGCCGTGCATGAGACAGTTGGCAGATGCCGTGCATGAGACAGTTGGCAGATGCCGTGCATGAGACAGCTGGCAGATGCCGTGCATGAGACAGTTGGCAGATGCCGTGCATGAGACAGTTGGCAGATGCCGTGCATGAGACAGTTGGCAGATGCCGTGCATGAGACAGTTGGCAGATGCCGTGCATGAGACAGTTGGCAGATGCCGTGCATGAGACAGTTGGCAGATGCCGTGCATGAGACAGCTGGCAGATGCCGTGCATGAGACAGTTGGCAGATGCCGTGCATGAGACAGTTGGCAGATGCCGTGCATGAGACAGTTGGCAGATGCCGTGCATGAGACAGTTGGCAGATGCCGTGCATGAGACAGTTGGCAGATGCCGTGCATGAGACAGTTGGCAGATGCCGTGCATGAGACAGCTGGCAGATGCCGTGCATGAGACAGTTGGCAGATGCCGTGCATGAGACAGTTGGCAGATGCCGTGCATGAGACAGTTGGCAGATGCCGTCCATGAGACAGTTGGCAGATGCCGTGCATGAGACAGTTGGCAGATGCCGTGCATGAGACAGTTGGCAGATGCCGTGCATGAGACAGTTGGCAGATGCCGTGCATGAGACAGTTGGCAGATGCCGTGCATGAGACAGTTGGCAGATGCCGTGCATGAGACAGTTGGCAGATGCCGTGCATGAGACAGTTGGTGGTTGCTGTGCATGAGACAGTTGGCAGATGCCGTGCATGAGACAGTTGGCAGATGCCGTGCATGAGACAGTTGGCAGATGCCGTGCGGGCGCTGACGCTGACGATGAAGAATCAAACATCTGGATGCTTGCTCCCTCATGCACACAGCTCCATGAGAACGGGTTCTTCGTCGTCAGCGCTACCAGTGAAGACATTAGCATGTGTTACTGTCTCATGTCAGCGCTACCAGTGAAGAGAAAAGCATGTGTTACTGTCTCATGTCAGCGCTACCAGTGAAGAGAAAAGCATGTGTTACTGTCTCATGTCAGCGCTACCAGTGAAGAGAAAAGCATGTGTTACTGTCTCATGTCAGCGCTACCAATGAAGAGAAAACTCTTTCCTGAATGAAAGTCGTATGACAGACGGTAGAGGAACATACATACATCCATCCAAAAAGGTTCCACACATACAATACAATACAGACAGAGGACACACACACACACAAGGCGAGAAGGCGATGGCACAGGTGGGATGGATCATGGAAGCTCCAAATTGCAAGTGCGCACCTGCTGCCACCCACTCTCTACTACTTTCCTGGAAGGCGGTAAAACCCACTTGTATAATGTAATGGCTCTCTCCTTTTAAGGCGTCTCAAAGACAATAAAAAAAAAAAGTCATCTGAGCTGCCCCCCGGACCACAAGAAAAAAGGCCAAACAAAAGCTTAAAAAAAGGGGTGGTGGGGGGATGCGTAAGCAGAATCATTGAACCAGGCAGCCACTGTGAGCCTATAAGCACTAACCTCAGGCTTCATGTGGACTCTTTCCAGCAGCTCCATCATTGCTGTCACCCGAACCTGCATCGCCGAACCACCTCCGCTCCCCGAACCTCCAGGTCTGGGCATGTGCGTTGAGGCTTTGACACCTGACACTCCACCAGCGCCGGCACGAGGAGTAGGACCGGCAAGCAAGGAGGGTCTAGTAAGTCCGGCGAAAGGTTTGGATGACATCGAGGCTGGAGGTATGGCGTGGGGTGCAGGTCCGGCATGGGCAGTGAACCTGTCGGGAGTTGCAGGTTCGGCCTTGCTAGTAGGTTGGGAGCCGAACGGCTTGGCATAGGCAGAAGGCGCGGCAGAAGGAGTGGCAGCGGAAGTGGTGTAAGGAAGAAAAAGATTTGACGGTGTGGCAGGTACTAGATCAATGGGTGGGGTGGTGAAGGGTGGGGGTGAGTGGAGGAGAGAGTGTGTGTTTGTGGAAGTGGGGGAGTTAGAGGGCTTGTTGTGGAGAGTGACAGTGATTGTATTGAAGGTTGGAGGAGAGGTGTGGCCATGTGCCGCTGTAGCGAGGAAACTCTGTAGGCAGCAAAGGGAGGGAGAGGGGGGGAAAGGGAGGGAGCAGGAGGAGCAGGTCGGAGGGAGGGTTGAAGGTGAGATGGGCGGAGGAAATAGAGAGGAGGTCGTGAGGGGGCGTCTGGGATGGGTTGTGACGAGGCGAAGCCGTAGGTAGACGGAGGGAGGAAGGGAAGGAGGAGGAAGAGAGAGAGGGCCATATGCTTTTGCATGGAGCAGTACGTAATGCTTTCCTCAAAGCAGAAGCTGAGACGTTGGATGACTGAGGCCTTAAACACCATCCATCCATGTACGGTCATGTCACTCACGCCTGCTCACACACCATCCATGCGCAACCATCACCCATGCCATTCATCTCGTAAGCCACTCACGTCCGCGTATACACCATCCATGTGCATGTTGGCTTATCTATCTATCTGCCACTCCTCATCACGCCACTCACGTCCATGAGTTGCTGCAGTGACTCACTGCTGTGTGCCAGCAGCACATAGCTGCGTTCCTCGTCGACCCAAAACACACCTACATTCACGCCGCTCATGCCACTCATGCCACTCACGTCCATGAGTTGCTGCAGTGATTCGGTGGTGTGTGCTGGCAGCAGCACGTTGGTGCGCACCTGCTTCCACAACTCTCCAAGGAACACAGGCGCCACCGATACTGCGAGGGAGGGAGCACGCATGGGAGGGAGCACGGCAGACCGGGAAGGGGAGGAGAGGAGGGATTCGGTGGTGTGTGCTGGAAGAGAGACGCCACCGATACTGCAAGAGAGCACGCATTTTGAAGTATCTGGAGACATCTCAATACTGTGGGGTTGGAAAGAGGGCACCTGAATACCGAGGCTACTATTTAGGTTAGAAGACTTGGGCTAGTTTACAGGCTCCAGTAAGAAACAGTCTGTTACTACGCCTTTAAGGTGAGACAAAAAGACAGAATAGTGGAAGGGTCACAAGACGTGAATATAAAAGACAAGCCCCAAAGTCCCGTCCAACCATCTCCTTCTACCCGAACCAAGGACGGCATGAGAAGAAGGGAAGACGGGGAGAGGAGGGAAGCAGAAAGAGGGGGAAGATTCTGTGAGGGTGGAGCGAGGCTAGTGAGATGCTAGATACCTCCAACGATGAAAAAGAGATCTCTCAGGGCCTCAATGGTTGAACTAAGCAAGCGCAGCATGACGGAAAGGGAGCGGTGTGTGTGTGTGCCTAGGCAAGTGACATACAGTGCACTGTGGTCGAACTAGGCAAGTTACCTCCACCGACGAATAACAGGTCCCTCATAGCCTCAATGGTCGAATTAAGCAAGCTCAGCACAACCGAAAGGGACAGGTGGGCCTAGGCAAGAGACACGCATGGCAAAGTTACCTCCACTGATGAAGAACAGAACAGGTCCCTTAGAGCCTCAAGCGTGGGACCACAGTAGCACAGCACAGCACGACAGAGAGGGAAGCGTGAGGTGAGGGATACGAGTGAGATGACTTTTGAGGCGCCTCAAGAGATACGAGTGAGACGCAATGCAAGTTACCCCCCCCCAATGAAAAACAGGTCCCTCAGGGCCTCGAGGGTCAAACCAAGCAAGCGCAGAAAAACAGGGATTGAAGGTTGGACCCAGACAAGCAGTGACATGCATGGCAAGTTACCTCCCCCAATGAAGAATAAATCCCTCAGCGCCTCAAGGGTCCCCATGATGCCACAGTGCATCTTGAGGCATCGCACCGTGTCTGCTGCCACCAGCGAGGCCTGTAGGAAAGAGGGGTGAGAGGAAAATATAGGGGGGGAAGGGGGGCAGAGATGGGGGAAATGGAGGGGAAGGAGGAAAAAAAAGCTGGAAGGTGCGTCTTGACGTATCACACCACGTTTGTTGCCAACTGCACCGCATGGCCGTGTCTGTTCTGGGGAAAGCATACTCCCTCCCTCCATTGAATGCATAAATAGTTTTTGAGGCGTTTCAGAACCTCTAGAGAAAAGAGACTCCAACCATTGGTCGGCCAGTGGAGCAGCAGTCCCTGCTTCTATGCTCTGCTTTCACTCACCCATTCTTGAATGGGGGAATGGATCCACTGCTGCAGCAGGCGAGTGGGATCGTCCAGAACCCTCTCCGCACCACAGGCTGCCTTTGCCCCCCCACCACCACACTCTTCAGACGCTTCACAAACGGACTTGCCAAGATCGTCACAAGCGGACTGCAGCCAGAGCATGAGGCGTAGCTGGGCCTCGTGTGCCAGTGCCTCGCTCCCCTCCTCCCATTCCTCCTCCTCCTCTCGCTGCTGCTGCTGCTGTTGCTCCTTCTCCCCTCCCTTTTCTTCCTTCCTCCTCCTCCTCCTCCTCCTCCTCCTCCTCCTCCTCCTCCTCCTCCCATTCCTCCCCTTCCTCCTCGTCATCCCCTTCCTCCTCGTCATCCCCTTCCTCCTCGTCATCCCCTTCCTCCTCGTCCTCCTCTCCCCTTCTCACTTCACCCGATCTCACTTGCTCCTCTAACTGTTGTCATTGACAGAGGGGTGAACGCACGGGAGTGGCATGGATGGATGGATGGATGGATGGATGGATGGATGGATGGAGGGAGGGATGGATGGATGGATGGATGGATGGACGGACGGACGGACGGACGGACGGACGGACGGAGGGATGGATGGATGGATGGATGGATGGATGGATGGATGGATGGATGGATGGATGGATGGATGGATGGATGGATGGACGGACGGACGGACGGACGGACGGACGGACGGACGGACGGACGGACGGACGGACGGACGGACGGACGGACGGACGGACGGACGGATGGATGGATGGAAGGATGGACGGACGGACGGACGGATGGATGGATGGATGGATGGATGGATGGATGGATGGATGGATGGATGGATGGATGGATGGATGGATGGATGGATGGATGGACGGACGGACGGACGGACGGACGGACGGACGGACGGATGGATGGATGGATGGATGGATGGAAGGATGGACGGACGGAAGGATGGATGGATGGACGGACGGATGGATGGATGGATGGATGGATGGACGGACGGACGGATGGATGGATGTATAGATGGGGAATGGGGGGATGAAGGATCGGAGTCTCAACTTGGGAAGTCTGAGAAGTGAGACGGACAATTGGCGGCGGCAGCGGCGCAGACAGGCAAAGACCAAAAGTGAAAAAAAAGGGAAAAAAAAAGGGTGCACCACCCTCGCATCCCTTTCACCACCATCCCTGGCACCCCTCAGCACCCCTCAGCACGCCTCAGCACCCCTAAGCACCCCTCAGCACCCCTCTGCACCCCTCAGCACCCCTCTGCACCCCTCTGAACCCCTCTCATCTCACCAGTTCCATCCAGTCGGCTGTGTCATCCACACCGCCCCTCCACAGCCAGTACAACGCCTCGTACCCTCCCGCCCCGCCACCCGCCTCTCCTCCCCATCCGGCTGCCCCACCATCTGCTGCTCCTCTGGATCCTCTTGCCTCACCGCTACCATGCACCTCATCCCAACATCTCGCTGCTCCCCCCTCCTCCATCGAATATCCTTGCTCCAAATATCCTTCCTCCACCTCGGATCCCCCTTCTGACCCTGACTCAGACGCAGCTGACAGTGGTGATAGTGATGCCACCGACGGGGATGATGGGGATAAGGGAGACAAAGGCACTGACGAGGAGGAGGAGGAGGAGGAGGGGGACGGGGAGGAGGGGGAAGACAACGGGGAAAAATGCTCTGCACCGGACTGTACCGCACTGGGTTGCAGGTGTGTGTAGAGGGCGCGGTATAGGTGGGCGGAGATAAGCCTCTTGGCTACTGGCGAGTGAAGGCACGTGGAGAAGGAGGAGGATGCGGAGGAGGCAGCACCCTCAGCCTCATCGCTCACTCGCTGCTGCTGCTGCTTCTGCCCCTCCACACCCGCCCTCCTTCCTCTCCGTCCTCCCTTCCCTACGCTCCACCCTCCCCCACTCCCTTTCCTCATGCTACTCCCTATCTCGCTCTCCTTTCCCCCGCTCCCCCCTCCTCTACTCCCCTGCTCCACGCCCTGCTTCCTCCCCCGCGCCTGCATATGCTTCAGAAATAGCACACCCTGCTCCGCGGCCTGTATGTCTGCCAGCACTGGGACGAGAAACGCCGGCCAGTGGGGGTGGAGGGGGGCGGCAGGGGCAGCGCTGGTGGTGGTGGGTGTGGTGACCCACCCCACTGAGGCACTGATTGGGGCAGCGGGGGCAGTGGTGGCAGTGGTGGTGGCGGTAGTGGTGGTAATGGCTGTAGGCGGGGTAGGGCCGTAGTGGTGGTGATAGGGGATGGCATGGCGCCAGCGGGGACTGGCAAGGGATCATGCTTGGCTCCAAGGAGAAACTGTAGAGCGAGATGACACAAGCTCATGTACAATGCATGGACATGCCATGCGCATGCCATGCACATGCCATGCACATGCCATGCGCGTCACACATATGCCACACACATGTGACATGTATGTGATGTGATATGCATGCATGTCAGATGCATGCCAAGCACACATACACACACACACAAAAAGAGAGAGCAGAAAGAGAGTTTCTGCATCCATGCATGCGGATGATATGGTATTGACGACCGATCAATTAGAAGGAAGGAGCAGAGGAAAGCAAGCAGGGAAGCTGAGATTGTGATATGATGGTCTGCATGCATAGCACCACTGCATCACGAACGTCCCCACACCATAAAACACCACATTACACCACACCACACCACACCACACCACACCACACCTCAACACACCAATCCATACCAAACCACACCACACCAGCTACTACAGAAGAGCAGGGCAGGGCAGGTGGCAAAAACACATCGGCCCATTCCCATCAGACACCTCAGCACGGACACCTCAGCACGGACTGCTCACCTCCTGTTGCAGCGCTGGGAGGCGCTTCCCCTTGAGAACCCAGTCATCAATGCAGGCGAGAAGCACATTAAGCGAAGAGAGCAGTAGGCGCAGCACTGTGAAGTGCGCATGCTGAGAGGAGGGGGCAGGGAAAGAGGGCGGAGAGGAAGAAGGGTATGGAGAAGGTGGTTGGCCTTCACACCCAAGGGCCCTGCCGCACAGTCAATGAAGGAGAGCAGAAAGTGTGGGTGTGCTGCGAGAAGGGCAGGGGAAGAGAGGGGAGGAGGAGGAGGGGGAAGAGGAGGGGGAAGAGGGGGGGGAAGAGGATGGGGAGAGGAAGGGGGAGAAAGGGTATCAAAGAGGAGGTTGCTGTTCACAGGAGCGTACCCAGTCGTCAATAATCACGGCAGTGTGTGCAGCCGCGGTTGTGATAGTCCTTGGACGATGAAGCAAGTCAATGAATGAAACTTGGCTGGGCCGGGCCTGGCCCGTCATTTTGGTACGGGCCAAGAATTAGGGAGGCGAAACTTCAGTTGGTGACGACAAAGCCCGTACGAAGGGTGAGGCCGACTGGGTTCGGCCTGTTGCACCGTTTGTCTGGGGCCGCCTAGACCATGCTCTGTCATGCCACAGCCCAATCATGGCACCAGACTGCATCACCAAAGCAGATACTATTCGCCAGCTGTCATCCCGTCCCCACCAGACTGGGACTGTTCATCATTGCGTGGTAGTATGTATCACTGGATACCGTCTATTACCTGTTAACTTACTGTCTGCCATGCGGCACTGTCCAATCCAGCAACCACCCACTCACCCCCCCACTCACCGCGTTCTGGCCCGCAGTGCTGTGCAGGCATGACAGCAGCACATCCACCGTCTGTGCGTTCACCACCGCCCGTGCCTCCCCTGCTGCCATTTCCCCAGTTGCTGCTGCACCACCTGCCTCTGCTCTGGCTGCTGGGACGTTTGCCTCTGCTCCTGCTGCTGCTGCTGCTCCGTCAGTGGGAGGGAGCAGAGAGGCGGCGGTGGGAAGCAAGCTGGCAGCGATGGTGTGGAGGGTATGCAGAGAGCTGATGGCGCTGTGGGAGGGAGGAAGGGGGAATGGGAGGAATGGAGGACTTTTGAGGCGCATGTCACCAACCCATTATAGAGGGACCCAGCATGTCGTTTGAGGATGAAATGAAGCGCTCAGAAACAGAAATAATTCTGAAGGGGATAGGATTCGTGGGCTGAGTGACTGCTGCAACGTTCACGGGCTTGGCAATAAGGTGTTTTACTCAAGTGAATGTGATTCTAGTGAGGGCATCGTGTTCGCCTACAACCTCACTCACTCACTCACCCTTGTCCGCGTTTGAAGGTGGATCGCTTATAGAGGTCCAAAGGCTCCAAACCGCGATTGGAGGACAATCCGAGGTCCTCTTTCAAAGACTAAGAAGCATAACACGCAATGCGATGCCATGTCAATCAATGCCATTTGACGCAATGCCATACATGCCAAACAATACCATGCCACGCAATTCCGTACAGTACCATGCCACGCAATTCCGTACAGTACCATGCCACGCAATTCCGTACAGTACCATGCCATGCAATGCCATACAGTACCGTTCCTTCCATGCAATGCCATACAGTACCGTTCCTTCCATGCAATGCCATACAATACCATGACATAGCGACGATATGTGAGACACCGAATTCAACAGGAAACGGAAGGCGGGAAATTGACCCGAATTCAGGAGAAACAGCCAATACGGAAATGCGACTATGGCAGCCACTGGAATCACGCTGGCGTAACCAAAGTAGGGAATTCTGAACGGGATCAGAATCCTGTAAGCGAGGCAACCGGGCAAGAACTATTTCCTTACGCGAGCTATCTGCTCCATGTGGAACGCGAGGTCTCGGAGGGCCACAGGCGGATTCGGCTGCGACGTGAAGCGCGACACGAACAGCTTCACGTCCTGGAGCTCCTGCGCGACGGACGGTGTGTACTTTTGAGGCGCCTCAAAAGTCGGCTGGGACGTGACGTGCGACACGAACGACTCCACGTCCTGGAGATTCTGCGCGACGGACGCTGTCAGCTCGAACGGATCTTTGCACGGAGCGGCAGGTTCAGGCGGAGCACGGCGAAATCCACCGCCGCGATCGGCGGCGACGGCGTTGGCTTTCGGAGGAGCCATGATGATAATGCGTGCCTCTGGCAGGCTGAACAAATGCGTGTGTCACTTCTGAGAAGCAGGCTCCTTCTTTTCTCGCTACGCGAAAAAGTGGCAGGCTGAAGGAATGCAGAATTCGCTGCTCCTCAACGCCACTGAAAGGACCACATAGATGCGGTTTTGGTCCTACATCTCCACGGTGAGATTACGCGACCCTACGACTAGATAATCATAGTACGGCAGAAATTGTTGTGAGTGATTCTGATCAGAAATGCCATGTGCCCAAAGAAGACGTTTTCTTTTCAACAATGCGACAGGACTAACACTGATAGTGCATAGTGCACTGATCTTAGCCTGTCATGGCTTCGCTACCCTTGGACTAACCAAGGGAGGCTCAGAAAGCCAAGCTGTGACTTAGTGCTCATCTGTTGGCTGGGCTGATACACTTTTGGTGTTCATTCGTTAGTGTTTAGCCCACGCCGATTACTACAATAATCTAAAATGTTTAGGTTACTACAATAATAAAAACAAAACAAAACCTAAAGTAATTTTCAGGGCGTCATCATTTTCCTCATCAACCTATATTAACTTTCAACGCCTTCAGCAGAATTACCATACAAGCAGATATCCTTGGAATTACAGAATAACCAAGAGCCACCCACACTACACACTCAGCACACATCCCCACCTAACCCTCCACCATCCTCACATACACACACACCACCTAGTCCCTGAACCCGCACACACGCACACACAGCAGCAGCGGCAGCACCAGCACCAGCACCAACAGAAGAGGTGGTAGTAGCAACACAAGCACCAACAGCAGCGGCAGTAGCAGCAGCAGAAGTAGCATATAAAATGCCTTTCTATCCCGCCCGATCAGCACAGCTGGCTGTACTCCACTTCCATGCACTGTGCTGCTACCGCCAACAGCAGCAGCAGCAGCAGCAGCAGCAGCAAAAGTCACCTCGGCTGGGCCGGGCCTGGTCCGTAATTTTAGGACAGGCCGCGAATCAGGGCGGTGGAACTTCATTCCGTGACGAAGGAGCCCATAAGTAGGTGAGGCCCACTGGGCTCGGCTCGGCCCGTTGCACGATTAGTCCGGGGCCACCTCGACCATGCCTTGTCATGCCACAGCCTTGACATGCCACCGCCCTGTCATGCCACAGGATTGCATCAACAAAACAAAATTTATTCGCCAACTGTCATTCAATTCACCCACCAGACTGGCATTGTTGATTGCCAGTTACTACTTATTACCAAGTGTCAAACATATATGCTTAGTTATATCTAGGCTTAGTTTATGTGTTTATAGTTGTCTAGGCTATAGTGGGTTTAGCCTTAGGGGGTACAGATTTCTCTCGACATTCTACTTGTACCCCTTCCCTTTTCCTAGTCAATCATCCTCGTCACTTATTCTAACATGGTATTAAGAGCGAAAATTTCCTAGGACCTAATCTTAATGGGCCCACCACCTACTGCCCTACTAGCCTAGGCCCCGGCCCGTCACCCCTTGGCGTCGCCCCTAGCCCCTAGGCTCGGCCCCTTGGCCCCGTCGCCTCTACCCCTTGGCCCCGTCGACTCCGTCGCCCCGCGCCCGGCCCGTACTTAGCCCGCGCTCGGCCCCTTGGCCCGTCGCCCCTAGCTCGGCCCCTCGGCCCCGCTGGCCCCGTCGATTCCGTCGCCCGCGCCCGGCCCGTTCCTAGCCCCGCGATCGGCCCGTACCTAGCCTCGCGCTCGGCCCCGTTCCTAGCCCCGCGATCGGCCCGTACCCTTCCCGCGCTCGGCCCCGTTCCTAGCCCCGCGCCCGGCCCGTACCTAGCCTCGCGACCGGCCCGTACCCTGCCCGCGCCCGGCCCCGTCTCTCGTCCGCGCTCGGCTCGTACCTAGCCCCGCGCCCGGCCCGTACCTAGCCCAACACACGGCCCCGACCCTAGCCAGCGCCCGGCCCCATACCTAGCCCGCGCTCGGCTCGTACCTAGCCCCGCGCCCGGCCCGTACCTAGCCCAGCGCACGGCCCGTACCTAGCCTCGCGCCCGGCCCCGTACCTAGCCCCGCACCCGGCCCCATTCCGCGCCCAGCGCCCGGCCCCGTACCTGCCCAGCGCCCGGCCCCGTACCTGCCCAGCGCCCGGCCCCGTACCTGCCCAGCGCCTGGCCCCGTACCTGCCCAGCGCCCGGCCCCGTACCTGCTCAGCGCCCGGCCCCGTACCTGCCCAGCGCCTGGCCCCGTACCTGTTTGGCCCCGCGGCCCCCAGGCCCCTTGTGTGGCCCCTCGCCCCCCCCTAGGCCCCTCGCCCCCCCCTAGGCCCCCCGGCCCCTTGTTTGGCCCCGCGGCCCCTAGGCCCCTCGGCCCCACCTCATAGCCCGGCGCCCGGCCCCCCGGCCCCTTGTTTGGCCCCTCGGCCCCCTAGGCCCCTCGGCCCCCCTAGGCCCCCCCCGGCCCCTTGTTTGGCCCCTCGGCCCCCTAGGCCCCTCGGCCCCCCCTAGGCCCCCCGGCCCCTTGTTTGGCCCCGCGGCCCCTAGGCCCCTCGGCCCCACCTCATAGCCCGGCGCCCGGCCCCCCCGGCCCCTTGTTTGGCCCCTCGGCCCCCTAGGCCCCTCGGCCCCCCTAGGCCCCCCCCGGCCCCTTGTTTGGCCCCTCGGCCCCCTAGGCCCCTCGGCCCCCCTAGGCCCCCCGGCCCCTTGTTTGGCCCCGCGGCCCCTCGGCTCCTTGGCCCCACCTCACTGCACAGCGCCCGGCCCCCCCCCGGCCCCTTGTTTGGCCCCTCCGCCCCCTAGGCCCCTCGGCCCCCCCTACGCCCCCCGGCCCCTTGTTTGGCCCCGCGGCCCCTAGCCTCCTCGGCCCCCACCTCACAGCACGGCGCCCGGCCCCCCCCCGGCCCCTTGTTTGGCCCCTCGGCCCCCTAGGCCCCTCGGCCCCCCCTACGCCCCCCGGCCCCTTGTTTGGCCCCGCGGCCCCTAGGCTCCTCGGCCCCACCTCACTGCACGGCGCCCCCCCCCCCCCCCCCCCGGCCCCTTGTTTGGCCCCTCGGCCCCCTAGGCCTCTCGGCCCCCTAGGCCTCTCGGCCCCCCTAGGCCCCCCGGCCCCTTGTTTGGCCCCGCGGCCCCTAGGCCCCTCGACCCCACCTCACAGCACGGCGCCCGGCCCCCCCGGCCCCTTGTTTGGCCCCTCGGCCCCCTAGGTCCCTCGGCCCCCCTAGGCCCCCCGGCCCCTTGTTTGGCCCCGTGGCCCCTAGGCTCCTCGGCCCCACCTCACTGCACGGCGCCCGCCCCCCCCCCGACCCCTTGTTTGGCCCCTCGGCCCCCTAGGCCCCTCGGCCCCCCTAGGCCCCCCCGGCCCCTTGTTTGGCCCCGCGGCCCCTAGGCTCCTCGGCCCCACCTCACAGCACGGCACCCGCCCCCCCCGGCCCCTTGTTTGGCCCCTCGGCCCCCTAGGCCCCTCGGCCCCCCTAGGCCCCCCCGGCCCCTTGTTTGGCCCCGCGGCCCCTAGGCTCGTCGGCCCCACCTAACAGCACTGCGCCCGCCCCCCCCGGCCCCTTGTTTGGCCCCTCGCCCCTAGGCCCCTCGGCCCCCCTAGGCCCCCCGGCCCCTTGTTTGGCCCCGCGGCCCCTAGGCTCGTCGGCCCCACCTCACAGCACGGCGCCTGCCCCCCCCCGGCCCCTTGTTTGGCCCCTCGGCCCCCCAGGCCCCTCGGCCCCCCTAGGCCCCCCGGCCCCTTGTTTGGCCCTCCGGCCCCTCGGCTCCTCGGCCCCACCTCACTGCACGGCGCCCGGCCCCCCCCCCGACCCCTTGTTTGGCCCCTCGGCCCCCTAGGCCCCTCGGCCCCTCTAGGCCCCCCCGGCCCCTTGTTTGGCCCCGCGGCCCCTAGGCTCCTCGGCCCCACCTCACAGCACGGCGCCCGCCCCCCCCGGCCCCTTGTTTGGCCCCTCGGCCCCCTAGGCCTCTCGGCCCCCCCTAGGCCCCCCGGCCCCTTGTTTGGCCCCGCGGCCCCTAGGCTCCTCGGCCCCACCTCACAGCACGGCGCCCGCCCCCCCCCCCCGGCCCCTTGTTTGGCCCCTCGGCCCCACCTCAGAGCCCTGTGCCCGGCCCCCTGTTTGGCCCCTCGGCCCCTATGGCGTCGCTTCGAGTTCTACACGTGGCACGACGATCTGCAACTGTACCTACTGAGCGACAGTCGGGACAGTGTCTCACTGTTTGACCACGTATCCGGTGCCGCTCCAGCCCCTCCCGCCACAGCTGACGTTTCGACTCGTTCCCAGTGGCTGTCTCGTGACGCTACTGCCCGCTTGGCCATTCGCAACCACCTGCCCGCAGCCGAATGTGCTCACTTCGGCGAGCACAGGACAGCACAGGCCTTGTACGACGCTGTCGTTGCTCGCTACTCCTCCCCTGCCACTGCTGCTATTGGCAGGCTGCTCCTGCCCTACCTGTTCCCTGAGCTGTCGGCTTTTGCCAGAGTAGCAGACCTGGTTACCCACCTGCGCACTAGCGACGCTCGTTACCGCGCTACCGTCCCTGCTGAGTTCCTTCCCACGAACCAGCCCCCCATGTTCATCACCCTCTACTTCATAGTCACTCGCCTCCCTGACTCCCTTCGCTCTGTCAGGGACCACTTCCTCACCCTCGACCCCACTTCCCTCACTGTTCACCTCCGCCTCGCCGCTCGGCATGCGCCTCTTCCCAGTCAAGCCCGCCCATGCCGCCAAGACGCTCTTCTTTGGGAGCAGCGTGGGCAAGGACTGCCAGCGAGGCGTCAAGATCGCCATTTCAGTAAGCTAGAAGCATCCTTCGTGAACCATCGGATGCATATCGGTACTTACAACTGAATTCGAGGAAGCTTCTTACACTGCATGCACCCCTGTGGAGGCTGTAAGCTGGGCTTGATAACCATTTTTAAAGGCGGTGTTAGAATATATATGTAACTGCCTGTAGCTGTAGTTAGTGTAGTTATTATAAACTTGTTGGTGGTGCACCTTCTTTGCATCCTATGTTTGCTATATGTACCCTATTGCTATAGTGAAC